GTGGGGCAGCCGTTGTGACTATACCGAGACCTTAGAACTATATCTCAAGGTGTGTGGCGCATTTACGTTATAGATGTCTATGGGCTCCAGTAACCACTTAACACCAGGTGGGCTGTGAGCTCGTCCACACATCTCAGCAATAAAAAAAAAAAACGCATTTTTTTCGCTTAATAGAAGAATTTTAATCGGTTGACCGTTGATGGGCAGACGAATCCTTCATGATTAAGCAGGTCGGTAGTATTGGTAGACCGTGAGTTTGTCAAACAGACTAAGCTTTATAGCCTTATAGTTTGTCAAACAAACTAAGCCATAAAACTGAATAGCTTATGGAATAAGCTTAATAAATAAATAATAAAACTTTATAGCTTATGATACGAACATTATGGGCTCATGAGTCACTCAGCCGATCAGTAACTGAAATAAAATTAAATTTTTTTTGTAACCTTACTATTGATTCTTTTATCTGTATCGCTTATATCTGTCTATCTGTATATTATGTTACGATTCATTTCAAAACTATATTAAAAACGTATTTTCACACATATCAAGGACATGAAATTCCACTTCTTTAATGTCTTGATCAAGATCACCAAGATAAAAAATGTTAGGTCGGTTTATCATCCAAACGCGTTTTAGTTGCTTTTATACTACACCAGTGACTTATCTTCTTGTCTAATTAAATTTGAGAATTCTGTGAACTTGATTTTATGAACACGATTATATTCCTTCATCAACTCATGAAAACGTGCTTGATGTAAGCATGTTCTTCTGAGTCAATCGCCTAAGCGTCAATAAAAGGGTATCTAAAAATCTTCACAAAACTCCATTTTCTTCGAGTCACTTTTAAGGGTCGACCCTTGAAGCGTTGAGGTGAAAATAATAGCTGTATCAAAGCGGAATTTGTCAAAAACACGACTCTGCGTGCACTTCCGTCAATTCTCTCCAATTAATAACTTGAAACCATCCTTGTCGCTCTTGGTTTTATGTTAATTAAACTGTCCCTCTCGTGTCCCCTTGTTTGAGAAGCCCCGTCGAGATAGAATATTGCCACTTTGTCGCGCCGCCTCCCGCGGGCTGTTTATATGAAGAGGCGAAATTGCAATATTTTCTAAAGTCAACGCAAGAAAATATTGGAAAAATTTTAAAGTTTTATGAAGAACCTGAAACATTGTTCAAACAAAACGGCTAGAAGGTAACAAGTTTTATAATTAAAAATCCTGGCCAAAGAATATTTAACGTTTATCGAGTTTCTTTATAATGTCGTTTGAGGAATGTAGAAGTGAAGATTCAGCGCTGATATTTAATATAGCTATTAAATATCAGCGCTGAATTTTCACTTCTCAGCCTACACAGTAGCCTGTGTTTAAAACAAACCCATTCTCACTAAGCCGGCTGAATTTTGGGCCTGAGCGTTCGTTCGTAGCTGGATCTACTTCTAAGTTTTAATCGAAGCAGATGCAGAAAAGTGGGAAATCAAAGAAAGAATACTATGTATTGGCGACAAACTATGGTTTAAAAGGAATTGTTTTTAACATACTGTATTTATTATTTTGTGATTTTTATCATATATCCCCGCTATCATTAAACCTAGTTAGTATCTGTATCGGTCAGTTCCCAAAGGCGTGACAATTGTATGTAGTTTAGGGTTTTTAGGTGATCAGGTTTTTTTTGTGACACCTACGCGCGAGTACTCATAAGACGTCCTACCACCATTTTTAATTGTGTATGATTGTGTATAATGTCCTCGATTATTATTGTAAGTAATGTGACTTTATCATCAAGTCTAATGAAATATAATCGTAAGAGCTAAATCAATTTAGGCGTATCTCGAGTATTCATATGTCAATCACAGAACAATATACTCTTAAATGGATACCTAAAAAGTTTAGTATAAGCGATGGTAAGTTATTGAGTGATAAATATTCGGTCACAAAGGTATTGTGGGAGGACATTAAGTGTACTAATTTATATCCCGTGACCCACATCCTGAAAGTTTTCGGATGTGTTTATGGTTTAAGCTTACTTTCTATTTAATTTGATTGTGTTTGGGAGGTTTTTATTGTTTCGCATCGTATTCACACGTGCAAGTTGGTTACTATTTTGATACGAAACGAAATTAAAGAATAAACAGCTTTACTACGAAGAGGGACCAATACGTCATCCAGTGATTGCAGCCCGGCATTGATAAATTTATCATTATGCCGCATCATAACAACAATTTTTTTATGTTGCAAGCCAGATTTTCTATTTTATTTACTTGTTGTTATTTATTGTGTAGCATTGTAGATTATGATGTGTATTATGTGCCTAATAAATAAATAAAATAAAAATTAACATCAGATTTACCAAAAACTAAATTTACTTTTATAAAATTTTTACTTCTAAATACTTTAGAAGTTTACTTACATAGATTAGCATATCACGGCTAGACAAAGAGTGACGTTCCAAAAGGCAGATATAAGGTCTCGTGTATAATATTACCTATGTATATGTATGTAGACTTATTTTTCACCGTTGTATCTTCTGTCATAGAAGCAAAGTTAGTCCTTAGCAGCAACTAAGGTTTATAAATTGCAATTCAATTTTTTTCAACACATGCCCGAGTCTACTCTGGATTAAACTCGGTTGTTAATCAATAGACTAACACAGAATACGAAAAAAAACATATTTTTCTTATCATAGGGAATGTATGTATGTAGCTTATTCCATTCGATTCTAATCGATTCGAATCGATATTAGGGTTAACAGCGTCGAAATTTCTACACTAATCAGACTTATTAAAATTTGACCTGGGTTCTGACTATTATTAATATTCATTACACTTTCCATATGAATTCATTGAGATTCCTATGAAGCCACTGGAATAAAAACGTTGTCTTGCTAAACTGTCATTTTGTCGTTTCGTTGCTTCTGCTTTTTTTTTTCATTAATATATACTTTATGTTTAGTCAGATGAAAACGTGTTTGAGAGAGGTAAATAAAATGAAAAACCTTTGTAAAATAATTTTATTGTATTTTTTTTTTCTTAAAATATTACTGAAGCAATATCATTTACATACATCCATTTAAAAATAAAACAATTACGTACATTTACCAAAATGTTTTACACACGTCTAAACATTAAATATACAATCACATTCGTCTGGCACTCAACGTCACAATAACATTGTAACTTACTACAAAATTCCGTACCTTATATTAAACAAAACATAGACAATTTTCGCGAAATCTTATAATATATTGAAGTGCATTTATAAGTACTTTATTCAAAGTTAATTAGTATACCAGTATTATCATTTTATATACGACTTAATCTCTACCTCATAATTACTTGGGTGAATAGACATAAAATTCTAAATTTTCTTTGAACGAATGGATCTTGTCGATGAGAATTAAATGTATTCAGTTTAAAAACAAAAAGAACTACAAAAATTAAATTAACACTTTAAGCTGATTCGAAAAGGTGCAAAGTATTGAATCAAAATTCTTTCGAATGATGCATTATAATGCCTAGCTAGAAACACCCTGTTTGATCCATTACGCTTTACAAATTACATAGCATGTAATTTTTTTTTTATTAAGACAAATAACTACTACTTGAAGGATCTAGAAACAGGGTAAGTAAGCGCACATTCTAGAAATTACGGTTTCAATTAATTCAGCATAACCTAATAAAATATTATCTACCTCATTGAAATCACTAAAGATATACCATATTGGCCAAATTTCCTACTTAGTGTTACATTTTTAACGAAAAAATAAAACATGTACTAATCACACTGGGATCTAACTACTAAACTAATGAATAATTGTTATTTAATAGACATTTAATTTTTCGCATATACCTATTTGCTTTTAAATTAGGACTTTAAGGAATTTGTATAGGGAGTCAACATTCTTACGTCTAATTTTGGTATAAATTCGAATGTAAAAATAAACATCATACCAATAAGGTCATAAATATCTTGTGAGTAAACAAATAATTGAATAACAGATTAAAGTATTGCACGGAATTAATCACAGAATCATTAAATTGTTCATAAATTATTATTGATAATAATTAATAAACGGAAAACAAAAACTCAACGTCTAACTTCCATCAAGCTTATATACAAATTCTTCAAAGCCTATTTGATATAGATCATGACTAAACTACTGTTTTGGTGTTAATCCTTCAGCCGGCCTGGACGGACTTTATGTCCTCAGGAAATATATTCTAAACTTAGAGCTATAATTTAATATTTAAGTAAATTCATAGGCATACCTAGACGATATAATTTTATTTAAAGGTAACTTTGACACGCATATTTTATTTTAAAATTAAACGAAAAGCTTATTTGATTAAATTTAATAAATATTTATTTAGTTATAATTAATAAGTACAATACATTACAAAATATATATGAATAAGTTTTAATAACTGTGAGTCTTCGTTAAATACTCTTAATTCGAAATAAACATTGACTATTATCCACTGCAAAACAGTGTGCTTCAAAATTATCTATATTTAATAATAATATGTATGTATTTATTCATATACTTACCATTTCTATTTGAATCTCAAATTCCTTTCGCATCGGCCTTATTTCTGTATTTACAGGTAAAATATTTTATTCGTAAAAATAAAATTCATCTGTAACCTAAATCTCTTATTAGGCTCTAATTGTTCAGTCCAAACAAATAACTAATTTTTTTTAATAAAATTTATTTATTCAAGATATTATTCACGATTTTGGACACAAATGCACGGAAATGGAAATATTTATCAATAAATCTTATTTGGAATAATAATCATTCTTTTGAAATTTAACATTTTGTATGTACATTGCGTTCGGATAATCTCTTTTATTTCTGAAATCAAATTGATACATAATGAGTATGTCATAAATTATTCAATGTTTATAACAGCCATAACATAAATACAATACTTCGTAGTAGTATAATTTTAGTCATTACTATTAAATGACCAATTATATTGATATCAATGATAATCTTCGTAAATGTAAACCTAATCACGACAATGAATTATTAAAATACTACAAGAATAATATCTACCTATTCATTTTATTTTACCTTATCAACTGTAAATGTTATCATAATTAATTTAATTTTAATAGTCACTTTTATTACTCTATACAAAACTAAATTCATATTAAATTAAAAATCTAAAAACAAACTTTTGACTTTGGTGTCTTGTCGTTGACCAGGAAGCACAATGGCTTAATCAGAAAAAAGAAAGAAATAAACTATAAGGAAGTTAGGAAAGAAGTGATTTTAGATTCAGATTACTCAATTTAATTGTAAATTTAAGAAAAGTGACGAGATCTTTCTTATCATAGCTTAAATATTGTTCATAATGAACATTTTACCGTTAGTATTTATAATATTGAAATGTAATGTAGAATGAAGAGACATATTAAGAAGATTACAATTTTAGATATAAGTGCTTAACGCTTGCCTGAAGTCGTGAAGAGCAGCCAGCAGTTGAGGAGCAGTTGGTCGTGTTGAAGGTGGAGTCGTCCAACACCAAGACATAAGGCCATACCTGAAAGAATATTGTGATCAACAGAGGAAAGTGGAAATTAATTATTCAAGTCTGCTGGTAGAACCCCTTGTGAGTTCGCACGGGTAGGTATCACCGCCCCGCCTATTTCTGCCGTGAAGAAGTAATGCGTTTCGGTTTAAAGGGTGGGGCAGCCGTTGTAACTATACTGAAACCTTAGAACTTATATCTCAAGGTGGGTGGCGCATTTACGTTGTAGATTTCTATGGGCTTCAGTAACCACTCAACACCAGGTGGGCTGTGAACACGTCCAGCCATCTAAGCAATTAAAAAAAGTCGGTTGCGTCAGTAAGTCATACACGATTACCTTGTAATTTTTTTATGATAATTGTAAATTTTGTCTTTAATTTGAAACCGGGAATTCGATTAACTGCAATAAAAATCATTTTGGTTTAACCTAAAGATCAGCTTTATCTATATGATACCTATGATCTTTTGTACCATGTCAGTTGCAAAATCTTTTTATCTCTAAGAGGTATATAGACCAGTGTCGATAATTTTTAAAACAAAAGAAAATAATAGTAGGATGAAATCCATTACAAAAGGAGGGGAATATTATAAAATTGAAAGGAAAAATAATTTACGGGCGATCTGAGGTCGGGAAGGGGCTGGGGGGGTAGGTTTAGGGTAAAAAACGGTTTTTCTCGATTTCCGGCAAAACTAAAAGTCCAATGGAAAAAAGTCAAATGGCAAAGTTGTAGGTAATAAAAAGATCTAACACTTTTGTATTTACACTTTTTTCACATAACCTCAAAATTTAAGTGCAAAATTGAAAAAACCAAGTTTTTGGTTTATTATTTTTATCTTTTTCAAAAAAAAATCTTTTTTCACGAAATTTGCTGAAAACTTACCTTTTTATGTCCCAAATACGCTGTAATTTATTTGATTAGAAATATTTATTTTTTCACCTTATTTTGAATTAATATCGAAAAAGGACTCTAATTTTCAATCGAAAATTCACCCGTCAAAATATCAGCTTTTTTCAAAAAATTGGTATGTGTTCTGTTCGTTGAAATCTCTTTTTTCCGATGGTGAAAAAAAAGATATATGTTGCTATAGTAAATCTTCTCAGAAAATGCAAAAAATCGAAAAAAAACTCGAATTCGAATATTTTTTTGTAATTCTTATATACAATTTTTTATTTAAAAATTTACCTTTTAATTACTCAAAAAACATAAGATAACAAGTTACATTGATAAAAAAAAATTGCCAATCAAAATATACTACTGTAATTAACAAACAAATAAGTTAAAAAAGTTCATATTTAATAAGACATCTACAATATTTGGAGAAAGTTGTCGAATCTTCTTTAAATTATATGCGTAGTAGATGCCTATTTATAACTATTTTTAGATAACTTATATACCTGAGTGACCTGCGAAAAATTTTAGCACATCAAAAGGTATTTGAAATATATGAAATATACATGAAAGTCAGCCAAAAGTTAGTTATTCAAAAATAATAATCTCCTTAATTTTGCACAAACAAATTTAGTTACTCCCAGGAAAAAAAAATTTCTAAATACATAAACAATATATTAAAACTCTATAAAAATATATATAAATATATATAAAATATATATCGTAAATATATATAAAATATATATCGTAAATATATTTTTAATAACTAACTTTTGGCTGATTTTCATGTATATTTCATATATTTCAAATACCTTTTGATGTGCTAAAAATTTTTGCAGGTCACTCAGGTATATAAGTTACCTAAAAATAGTTATAAATAGGCATCTAGGTATATAATTTAAAGAAGATTCGACAACTTTCTCCAAATATTGTAGATGTCTTATTAAATATGAATTTTATTAACTTATTTGTTTGTTAATTATAGTAGTATATTTTGATTTGCAATTTTTTTTTATCAATGTAACTTGTAATCTTATGTTTTTCGAGTAATTAAATGGTAAATTTTAAAATAAAAAATTGTATATAATAATTAAAAAAATATATTTGAATTCGAGTTTTTTTTCGATTTTTCGCATTTTCTGAGAAGATTTACTATAGTAACATATATTATTTTTTTCACCATCGGAAAGTAGAGATTTCAACGAGCAGAAAACATACCAACTTTTTGAAAAAAGCTGATATTTTGACGGGTGAATTTTCGATTGAAAATTAGAGTCCTTTTTCGATATTAATTCAAAATAAGGTGAAAAAATAAATATTTCTAATCAAATAAATTACAGCGTATTTGGGACATAAAAAGGTAAGTTTTCAGCAAATTTCGTGAAAAAAGATTTTTTTTTGAAAAAGATAAAAATAAAAAACCAGAAACTTGGTTTTTTTAATTTTTTGCATAAATTTTGAGGTTATGTGAAAAAAGTGTAACTACAAAAGTTTTAGATCTTTTTATTACCTACAACTTTGCCATTTGACTTTTTTCCATAGGACTTTTAGTTTTGCCGGAAATCGAGAAAAACCGTTTTTTACCCTTAACCCCCCCTCCAACCCCTTCCCGACCTCAGATCGCCCGTAAATTATTTTTCTAATATTGTCCTCCTTTTCTAATGGGTTTCATCCTACTATTATTTTCTTTCACTTTTCATTATTTTTAAAGGCTTCTACCCTGGTCTAATAGGTGTATAAGCAGATATCTTAAACACAAAAAAAATGAACTGTGAATCTTAAAACGGCAGTTAAGATACCGCGTTTGTCACTTGAATGATTTCTCTTAGCAACTCTATTCGAAGAGCAACTTTTATATACAAAAATGATGGAGGTTTTCAATACCGAAAACAAAGTAAATGTGAAGAAAAAAAAGAACGGAAAAATAATAAATTACAATAATTACAAATTACAAAACATAATACAATTTTTAATCGAGTATCTATGTAGTTTTGCTCACATATACTCTAATAATAATATATTTAGTTTAGATTCTAAAGTAGAACTAATTCTAACGGGAAAACATTCCAAATGTGAACGATTTTGATAGTAAAAGAGAGTTAAAAACGTAACAATGATTTTTCCAAAGGAATTTGGCAATTCATTTTTTCATAACGTCGATTTTTCTTCTATCACAGTGATTCATTTGAAATCATCGTGATCCTTTAGTGATTAACTTACAATTCATCCGGACAGTTGTGAGGTTGTGATGGTCTATAGCCTCCGTTTAAAAATGCTCCAACGTCAGCAGCATCAAGTTCAGCTAATGGAGAGGAACCCAGAGTTGCCAGTTCCCATAAGGTTATTCCTAAAGACCACTACAAAAAAATTATAATAATCGCAGTTCAATATCTTTCCAAGAATTGTACTTACTCTCATATAACTACTTAGTCTCATATTACTGTCATATAATTTATCTCTTATTAAAGTAAATGAAATAAAAAAATATTTTACATTTCCAAGTGAACGAATATTATCAAATACGTTTTACTTCTTCAGAATTTATAAACATACCAATTTCAATAAAAAGGTGGTCATAGAAGAGGATTAAGAATGTAACTCACTACATCCGAAGCAGTGGAATATTGATTTTGAAGTAATGTTTCCGGAGCCATCCATTTAACAGGCCTATTCTCGTTATCTCCAAGACAATGGTAATCATCAGGAAATAGGTCTCTAGCTAGACCATTATCTGTTACTTTCAGTCTTAATTTTTCGTCCACCCTAAAATATTTAAAGTATTTTAATCCTTCATTTTTTATACTTAATAATTTAAAGTACGTAAAATTTGAATACTTATAAAATAAAATATGATAATATCTGAAAATTGAGCCAAACGATAGTAGAAATCAGTGATCAGTTGTGTATTAAATTTTACTTAAGCTTTTATGACAATGCCAGAAATTAGTACTAATTGATGAACTAATCTACTTACACGCAATTTCTAGCAGCGACATCAGCGTGAACAAATCGTTGAACATGTAGATAAGATAATCCACAAGCAACCTGTGCTCCTAAATCTACCAGTTCTCTAGTTGCTGGAGCCGACTGCTGACCCAAACGGCATGATGACAAAAATCTGTTCATCATAAATACCTCAATTGTAAGTTTCGTTCAGATCTAACTAAACGCTATACATACATAAATATAATCATTATATCAATGAAGTAGAAAATACATAGAATTCGTTTGCCGTTACCTTTTAAGATTAGAAGAATGCGAAGGACAGCAATAAATCAAAAGTGGTTTCCTCGCTTCTTCAGCACATGCAGCCATTGGTGTTAGGACGTTTGCGTGAACAAGTCCGTATAACCTTAATCCCTCTGCCACAAGTAGAGCAGCTTGCATAGCTGACGCTGCATCTATTTCGATTTAAATGAGTTTTTATGTACGTTTATTAATTAATGGATTCAATTAAAAAAGAAATGGGTATAGAAAACAAATTCAAAGTTTTTCCTAACCTGAAACAGTCTTCACCATAACTTCTTCGTAAACATCGCCTTTTTTGAATACCCCTTTATAGATTCTTCCGAAAGTACCTTCGTGGATGAGAATCTCCAAGCGTATGTTCGAACGAGAAGTAGTAAGAACACGAAGTTGTTCTGCTGGATCAGTGATGCGGTCTTTTGTAACGGTTTGCTGTTAAAAATATTGAGACTTCGTTTTTAATAGAATAAATTAAGTTTGATCAAATTTGTTTGTTTTTTGTGACAAAAATTATAAAAAAATATTATTACAGAATCAAATTATTGCTGAAGTCATCTTTTTTGGTACTAAAATAGGATCATAGGCCAGTTTATGTTAATCGGTGACCGGAATTCAAAGTAACATCATAATGAAAACGCAGAGTTAGGCATGCGTGTGTACCGAGCTATACATGATCTCAATAAATACAGTGTACGAAATCGATATTAAGTAGAAGATTTAAGGCAGTTAGGTAGAAATTTAATGTCATATCATTAAAATGGTACAAGTAAATGCGAGAAATTAATAGTAGTTGGTGGAGGCCAGTGTCATATACCAATAGCTTGTGATTAAAAAACCTTAGAGATAATATCATAGAAGAATATCTAATGGTAAACATCATCACAAAATGTGTCCTAAAATTGTATTCTGAATTTTACTAAAACTAAAGTTAAACTTCCAGTTACCTGTCACTACTTAAACAAAGAATCCGTAAGTGGAAAATCAAGTCGACACGAGAAACTCGGTTAAAACTTCAATATCGCGCTACACCTATCTCTATTTAGTCCTTAATTAACAGGCGCTGAACCTAATTGCATTAAGCTGTAGCGACATCCAACGATAAAGCTAATCGAGTTTGTTTCATACCAGGAACGTTCTATTGCGCTTTGTGATAGTGCTGCAAAAAGCGACACTATGGGAATTAAAATAAAAGATTTCTAATTGAATAGATTTCCTTATCATTCTCTAGTTTTTGGCTATATCTTTTTGTAGCTATGTAAAAAAAATTATTTTCCTGAGATTTCCATACGTATAGAAGATATACATCAAGAAGATATACTGCAATGCTTACTCTTCTTACTAGTGAATAAAGGGCCCTCGCGGGAATTGGAAATTTCTAAAATTTCCTAAAGCAACGTTGTACGCAATGGCGTTTAAGACCCATACCAGTAGACCATGAAAGTGAAAAGTATGCATTCTATCATATTTAAGCCTAGGATTTTTTTAATACCGTTTGTGGCATAACACTATATCATTTTTGTTTCTTATATCTGAGCTCTAATTAGCAATATTTCTCCTCCTTGTTTTCTTATTTACCCCTGAAGCGTTCATTAGCACTCCCTCAATAAGGATACTAATTCATATTTCCTTCCAAAGACTACCAGCAGCGCGATAAATTCACGAACAAAAGGGGTTCGCAAATTAAAAACTCTGTTCTTTGCCAAGCCCAATAATGAGCAGATATAGCGAACTAGATTTGGCAGCGAAATCAAAAAATAAGTATATTCTGGCAAAATTTTCTCTGTCTTGATAGCAAATCATAAAAATTTAAGAAAGAATAATACAGCACAACATAATTTCTAAGCAAAACCTATTTATATTGTCAATTCATTGCGATAAAAATATCATATCACGAAAGACTTTTAGAAAGTTTGAAATTAGTAAAAGAGTCTTTGAATTCATTCCTGGAAAAGCTTGTTACTTTAAACGTATACTTTTTAATTAAATTATGTTAAGAACTTAAAAGTCATTCGGATCAAATTATTTGTTGACTTTTCCAGCTTTTCTCTTGCAGCCGAGCTTTTCAAGAACAAGAAGAACGTTAACTGCATTATGTTCGTATCACCTGCAGGGGGACGGGGTAACTCGTCTCAAATTGGATTCTTAATGACGTAAAGGTCCCATTTTATGCAGAACCCAGCCACCCTTCAAGTTCAAAGACTTTTAATAAAAAACGCAATCTTTCTTTTAGCTTAAGTTCTGTCAAGCGGACGCTGAGGTATTTTTTCCTTTACTCTATTAGATGTTTAAAATCAAAATATCTAAATTGATGTCCAAAGTTTAGATTTGGCCCAGAACACTAAACAAAAACTTAATGCTATTTCGCAAGGATAAATTTATTGCTCTTTGAACTGTTTCAATTTGCAGATGAAATTTTGTTAACCACCATAAGAAATTAGCAGGTAAGTAACGAAAATAATATCGTATTTCATAAATTTACGTAGTCACAACTAGGGTTGAATCGATTTACAATTACGAATTACAATCCAAATTAAAATAATAAAACAAGTACAACCAAAGCATAATAAAGTACGTAAAGATGCGCTTGAAACAGGACTAACAAGAATCACATGAGATAGGGCCACACGATGCCATTAAAATGTAGCTTTGTGGGATTGTTCAACCAAAGATCAACGGGAACTGTGTAATGTGAGCTAATTTATTTGTGGCCCTCCCTCAATACGTTCGGTTTAAGTTAGGAGATGCAGTCTTAAATTGTCTACTGCTGTTGTCGTATACAGCATTACCAAATTTATGTTATATACATATTTATGTTTACTAAAGTCCTATATCGTTGAAACAATGTAACTTGGAACATTAAATTTCAGTAATTTGGATTCTGTTAGTATGTTTTGCATCATTTAATTATAGGTAGGTGTTTAGCTTTAGAAAAAATATGAAACGTCCTTTTTATGTAGCATAAAAATATAGCCCCTATGAAATATTCATACCAAAAAGGCGATCTAAGTTGTGGGTACAAGAATCTGAAGAAATGCTGTTTGAATATAAAAACATTGGTCAGGGAAATTAAAATAGCACTCAGAACCATATCACTTATTTTAAAAGATTACTTAGGACTGGCAGCCTATAAGAGATCACTATCAGTTAGCGGATAATTTAAAAATAAATACAGCGTAAAATCAAAACAACTTCAGAGACGCCACAAAAAATGATGTTACAAAATAAATAAAAATGGAGCAATATTTTAATAAATAGAATGAACAGGCCCGTGCTCTAAACAAGGTTCTCAATTCCTCAAAAGAATATAATGTGGACATTATCCCGTTTCATTGAAGATTGACGAACTATGAATTAGGGACCGAGGCATATATTTGTGAAATAAGGAAAATAAATCGTATTATCGTATTTCATAACCAAAAAAACTCTATTCTATAGTGTCAGTGAAGTTGACCGGAAGGCACGTATCTGAGTTAATAATTTCGAAAACAATCTGACATCTAGGAGTCCTAATCTTAAAACTGTAGGATTACTTGATTAACTTCATGACCTTGCGTACAATGCGTAGAATGGTGTAAGCGCCATGATTATTTAAAATACTACAATACAATGTTTGCAGTGACGATTTTTCCAACGAAAAGTGCGTGCCATAATAAAGAAGTGGTCACAGCATTTTAAAGCATATATTAAAATCAACAGAGATTATTTTGAACGAGCTACATACTTTCACAAAATGCTTTGACCAGTTTATACCAATTAATAAATTGATGCATGCGGCAGAAATAAAAATGGTTTTATGTGTAAAAATCAAGACATGTTTGTGTATATCAATTTTTAAGCTTAATAGTGAAAGAGCTGATAGTTTCCATCTAGATATTTCAATTTTTATAGCAAAACTAAGCTTAATAGTGAAAGTGCTGATAGTTTCCATCTAGATATTTTTATAGATACTCTTTTGGACGCAAGGTTCGTTAGTTTTGGAGACAACCAATATTATTTGCATAGAATCGAATGCAGAATATTATAGTGAAATGAAAGTAGTATTAGAGGCGACTCCCTCTTAAATCAAAGTCGATGGGCGGAGCCATTGATGACGAGCACTCACGTGGACTCGTGACGTCATCTGGAGGGGCAACTCGTCATCTGGAGGGGCAACCGACCCACCAGCGTGGACATCACGCCACCTCGGATCACTTTGGCTGGAAGCGCGCGCAGGGTTCACTTGTTTTTAGACTTAATATTCTGTGTCGATCGTCTCTACCCACTCTTGTATTTTATTGATTTTTAAATTACATTGTTGCTTGTTAGTTCTATTTTTTTTATTTAAATTATTGAGCCATTACTAAAATCAGAAGTGGGATAGGGCTTGTGCCCTATCCGCTTTTGGGTTATCCTGGCATACAGTTTATTTTTAAAAAAATTTGTATTAAATTAACAACGTAATGGCCGATAGACGGGTAACTAGAAGCAGGGTGGGAGGACGCTCGTATTCGCCGAATGTTCGAGACCAATTAGGAACAATATTGGCGCGTTTAACTGCTTTAGAAAACTCAAATGTGAACGTTGCGCGTGAGTCGAGCTCGCCAGGGTCGCAGATGGAAGACGCACGTCCCTCGACCGCGGACGGTGGTGGCGCCGGACCTGTGGTGGCGTCGGGAATCACATCGCCGCCGCCGCCGCCGTCTGAGCCCCGCACGNATTCGCCGAATGTTCGAGACCAATTAGGAACAATATTGGCGCGTTTAACTGCTTTAGAAAACTCAAATGTGAACGTTGCGCGTGAGTCGAGCTCGCCAGGGTCGCAGATGGAAGACGCACGTCCCTCGACCGCGGACGGTGGTGGCGCCGGACCTGTGGTGGCGTCGGGAATCACATCGCCGCCGCCGCCGCCGTCTGAGCCCCGCACGTACGACGCTACAGACAGGATCATCGGAGCATTAAGCGCACTGTCCAAAGTAAGGTCGAACAATTTTTATATTTCAAATTTTGACCCCAGCGTTAATGATATCGATTCTTGGTGCGAAGAAGTTGATAGGGCGCGCGATATTAACGAGTGGGACGATAACGAGTGTTTAGCTAGAATAGCCCACTGTTTAAAAGGCGACGCGAGAACTTGGTTACAAGAATGGGTCACGTGTGATCGTAGTTGGTCGAATTTTAAAATAGAATTCAAGCCTTTGTGTGCACAGCAAATCGATGTTGCCGGTATTCTTTTCGACGTGATGTGCACAAATTCAGACCGGTACGTAACTTACGCAGATTACGCAAGGCGCTCATTATTACGTTTACGTATTGTTAAAGGATTGAGTGACGACCTTATAGTTGCTATTATTATACGTGGCGTAATCGACCCTCAAATTCGTGCTACCGCCGCCAATTGTAAATTATTACCTAAAGACCTAGTAGAGTTCTTTTCAAATTTTGTAAAGCCATCACGAGCGCCCAATGATCCTGTGCGTAACGTTCGTAGACCTAACGACAATTTTACACGTAAACGTTCCTTTAGTCAAACTCGTCCCGGTTCTAAGCCTTTTAAATGTTTTTCATGCGGCGAGATAGGTCACGCCCAACGATCGTGTCCTAAACGTTTTAAATTTGTAACGCCGGGTAGTAATAACGCGGTTCCGACTGGTTCACAATCTAATATCCAAAAAGCACCCAAAATTATCTGCACGTTCTGTAAAAAGGTCGGTCATGACGTGAGTGAATGCTTCACGAAAACTCGTTCAGAATCACGAAACACATCAGTAAATTTTTGTCGAGAACTGAAGGGTAGTTCTACCGACTTCGATATTGTCAGTGCGGTTATACAAGGTATCCCAACGGATGTGTTAATTGACAGTGGATCGCGAGTGTCATTAGTTTCTGACGACATTATCAAGTATTTCAATTGTAATCGAGTACCCACATATCAATTGTTGAGGGGCATAGGTAGTCAAATTATTGAATCGACCAGTTACGTAACGTTAATAATTGAGTTTGACAATATTTCTCTAGAAGTTGATTTTCTGATTGTTCCATCAAACTGTATGAATGTACCTGTGCTTATTGGAACGGACGTATTGAACCGAGACGGCGTAGCTTATGTGCGCGTTAATGGACAACAACGTTTGATACACATCGATAGTAATAAAATCAATGTGAATAGAGTATTGCATATTCAACTGAGCGATCAGTCGCTCCCTATTAATACGGAGTTAACGGGCTTGCACCGCGAAACACTATTGACGATAATTAATGAATTTAAAGATTATTTAATCGTCGGTACAGCTCTTACAACTGTAAATACGGGCAGTATGCATATAGAACTGACTAGCAGTAACCCTGTTCACTATAGGCCTTACAGACTCTCTCTTGATGAGAAAATGAGGGTACGCAACATAATTAAAGACTTATTAGATAAAAATATAATTCGGGAATCAGAGTCACCTTATGCGTCCCCGATTATTCTTGTCAAGAAGAAAGACGGATCGGACCGAATGTGCGTAGATTTCCGTGCGTTGAACGCTATCACGGTAAAGGATCGTTATCCATTGCCACTGATCGAAGATCATATTGACAGACTCGGAAAGCATAAGTACTATAGTTGTTTAGATATGGCAACCGGATTTCATCAGATAGCTCTGGATAACGACTCTATACCGAAAACCGGGTTTGTGACGCCCGAGGGCCATTATGAATATTTAAAAATGCCTTATGGTTTAACGAATGCGCCTATTGTATACCAAAGAATTATATCGAAAACGTTACGATTGTTAATTGATTCTGGTAAGGTTTTAGTGTATGTTGATGACGTGTGTGTACTGTCGGATACGATTAATTCGGCTTTGGATGATTTGCGGGAAGTCATGTTAACTTTAACAACAGCCGGTTTTTCAATAAACTTGAAAAAGAGCACGTTTGTGGCTACAGAGGTAGAATATCTGGGTCGTAAAATCAGTCAAGGTCAGGTTTGGCCAAGCGAGAGGAAGGTACAAGCCTTGATTAACTCCCCTGTACCCACAAACGTAAAACAAGTGCGACAACTGTTAGGTTTGGCGGGATATTTTCGCCGATATATCGCTGGCTACGCGTCTAAAGCCGCGCCTATCGCTAAACTCACATGTAAGGGCGTTCCATTTGTGTGGGGCGAGGAACAAGAGTTGGCTCGTCAATATTTAATCGATTGTATGACTAACGAGCCAGTTTTGGCAATATTTAACCCAATTTTGCCCACCGAGCTCCACACAGATGCTAGCTCCATAGGCTACGGCGCTGTATTAATACAGGAACACGCTGATAAGAAACGTCGCGTGATTGCGTACTTCAGTAAAACTACCCAGGGTGCTGAACCACGTTATCACGCGTACGAATTGGAAACCTTGGCCATCGTCAAAGCGTTACAATATTTCCGGCAATATCTCTTAGGTATACGATTTAAAATTGTCACGGATTGTAACGCTCTTAAGCTTACGGAACGCAAGAAAGACTTGTTACCACGCGTTGCAAGATGGTGGATGTATATGCAGGATTTTCAATTTGAAATAGAGTATCGGAAAGGTTGCTTAATGTCTCATGCTGATTATTTTAGTCGTAACCCTGTAGATGTCCGTATGATAGACAGGCCGAAAAATTGGGCGCAAATAGCTCAATCTGCTGACGAGGAAACTCGTACTTTGATAGATAGACTCGATAATAACGAATTAGATCAGAAACAGTACGTAGTTAGAAATGATTTACTCTATTACAAATACAACTGTATTGGACAAGAGTCCAGACTGTTATGTTTTATACCCAAGGGCCATAGGCTCAGCCTGTTGAGGATCTTTCACGATCAGCATGACCACATAGGATATGATAAAACCCTTGATTTAATATTAAGACATTTTTGGTTTCCTGGATTGCGCGCATTTGTAAAGAAATATATTAATCACTGCCTTACATGTTTGTCTACGAAGCGGGTACCTAGAGCTCCTCGCCAACCAATATCTTCCTGGGTTAAGCCCGATGTGCCTTTTAATACGCTCCACGTAGACGTACTTGGTGTCCTCCCCGAGTCCAATGGCTTTAAATTTGTGTTCATAGTCATTGACGCGTATTCAAAGTACTGTCTTTTGTTTGCTATAAAACGACAGGATTCTGAAGAACTTATTCGTGTAATGAGAAGTGTTATTTCTTGTTTTGGCGTACCCAAGCTTATTGTTTGCGATCGTGCTCGCATGTTCGAAAGTGTTCGGTTTCGCAACTGGACCAATGATATAGGGAGTGAAATTCATTTCATAACCCCAGAAATGCACAACGAAAATGGACAAGCAGAACGATATTGTCGCACAGTATTAAACANGGATTCTGAAGAACTTATTCGTGTAATGAGAAGTGTTATTTCTTGTTTTGGCGTACCCAAGCTTATTGTTTGCGATCGTGCTCGCATGTTCGAAAGTGTTCGGTTTCGCAACTGGACCAATGATATAGGGAGTGAAATTCATTTCATAACCCCAGAAATGCACAACGAAAATGGACAAGCAGAACGATATTGTCGCACAGTATTAAACATGATAAGGGTTGAGATCGTCATTAGACAAAATAAGTGGTCTGATGCCCTTTGGCGAATACAATTGGTGTTGAATTGTACAAAGCATAAGACAACCAACACATCTCCGATGCAACTTCTTATTGGCATTGATGGTGCTACTCCTGCAATAAGATGTCTCGTACGCGATGTAGCCTTAGAAAATAATAATTCTAACCGGGAGGCTTTGAGAGAATTGCAACGCCAGGCAGCATCGAATCATTTAGAACAGAACAGACGAAAGCAAGATGCGTATGTGAATAAAAATCGCAAAGTCATTAAGTTGTTCAAAGTAAACGATTTAGTTTTCGTAGCGAAGGTAGCGCAGATGACCGGAAAATTAGACTCTGGTATGCGTGGACCTTACCGCGTACTGCACACACTACCCAGAGGACGCTACGAGCTTCAGTTGCTTGGTGGTGCCTACGGCAAGACCACGCAAGCGGCCGGCGAATACATGGTGCTATGGCGAGGAGAGTGGTCTCCCGAGGCTTGCGGAGCCTTCTTCAACAGTGAGTACAAGTTGACTATGTGTGACGTGTGGTTGCCATTTTACATGTTAATCTGGTCATGTAAGAGTTTTGTGCATATGCCTACTGAGTAACGTAAACCTTGCGATGTGGTAACATAGGTCACGTCACAGAGATTTAAGTGGTAACATAGATCATGTAGAAGTTGTAATTGATTGTAAAGTGGTAACATAGTTCACGCAGAGATTTACGTGGTAACATAGTTCACGTACATGTTGTAACGTGGTAACATAGTTCACGTAGATGTGTTAACGTGGTAACATAGTTCACGTATATGTTGTGACTTGGTAACAAAGTTCACGTAAAGGTGTGACGTGGTAACGCAGTTCACGTAAAGGTGTGACGTGGTAACGCAGTTCACGTTACGAGTGTATTGGCTTGACATGTTAACTTGGCCATGTCAACCAGACTTTACTCTCACAGCATATTATACACCCGATATGGTAACAGTGCCATGTTGTCAGTACATCTAATGTAACTCAACAAGAGCCTACTATACATGAACACACTGAAATGTGATGTAAAATGCTCACAATAACTACTAACTCTTACTAATGGTTCATGGTACAAAAATCATGATTGTAATGCAAACAATTTATTTCTATTACAGCTAATGACGATATCATAGAACAACCCGATAGAGACGCTGTGCACACAGTGAGTCCTGCATCGTCAGAGGTTGAAGACGGCCATGACATCAAGGTGAACGTGGACGTCCACCAGTCAGGAGAGGCCGTATTAGAGGCGACTCCCTCTTAAATCAAAGTCGATGGGCGGAGCCATTGATGACGAGCACTCACGTGGACTCGTGACGTCATCTGGAGGGGCAACTCGTCATCTGGAGGGGCAACCGACCCACCAGCGTGGACATCACGCCACCTCGGATCACTTTGGCTGGAAGCGCGCGCAGGGTTCACTTGTTTTTAGACTTAATATTCTGTGTCGATCGTCTCTACCCACTCTTGTATTTTATTGATTTTTAAATTACATTGTTGCTTGTTAGTTCTATTTTTTTTATTTAAATTATTGAGCCATTACTAAAAGTAGATATTCGTTTTTGTTTATACCACAAGAGAGGGCAATCTAGCGAGCAGTAAACTAAAATCTACTCGAACACCCAACTAATTTATTATTCGACAAATTTCGAAGAACAAACCCACGTACGGTTGCCAAATGCTTTTATTGGGTAGTGTGCCAAAACGATGTATGCGCTCAGTAGAATAGCCATTGGGTAAATATATTTTTTAAGCGTTTTACAATTTAATTATGTACACAAGCAAACGCTTTATTTAACACATTGACTGCAATGTAGGTCACCGGTGCCCTACGCGGCGCACTGATGTAATTATATCGATTTCTAAGTTCTACTAAGTTCTTTTTTTTTGTTAATGTATATTTTAAGTATCTTAGAAATAGATGCGTTTTCAGTATCTTCGGATTCGTCTTTCCCAAAGTCTATTATATACCTATTCCGCGTCTTAGTAAGATGATCGAAGAGAGAAATCGATATAATTACTTCAGTGCGCCACGTACATGGCAGTCAGCGTGTTAATGGGCTTAAAATAATTTTCCAAAACGTATCTTTAGCTTTTACTTTTGATGTTTGATTTCACGTTTATTATCCATATTTTAAATTCTGATGTTTCGAAATTTATATTGTGTTATACAATGTACAAAATTTAACCTATAGGTTTAATTTTCAGTTTCCTCTGAAATTATAACTACTACCATTGAAATTATATTTTTTTATTGTCTTTGTAGTCAGACGAGCATACGGCCCACCAGATGAGTAATTACCGTCACTCAAGGACGTCAGCAATGCTAGGGACAGTCAGTAAAATTTACCTGAGATACGTGAGTTAGATTGGACGCAGCGTAATACGAAACGCGAGAATCCGGCTTCGCATACACATGTTCACCTATCTGCGTTGTTGCGTACGGCGATGGTGACCTTCTACTCCCTGCATAAAAGTAACTCAAGATTAAAAAAACACGTATGTAGCTTGTACTCATTATATCATATCTCAAAATTTTATGAAGTTACTACATTTTCGATTAGCTCAAGATCTGCTAAATGCTCGTGACTAGCATATATATAATACTGTTAAGCATCTGTGAGCATGAGGTCGAGGTCTCAATCGATTGAATAACCGCTGTGCCATTCTTCAAACCGGAACATACCGAGCGGTAGAAATAAACGGAATGTTGATACCTATTACAGTTACGGCTCGGCAACGAATTATGTTTTGCTGCTTGATTGTTTGTTATTGGTGGTAGGACCTCTTGAGAGTCCGCACGGGTAGGTACCACCACCCTGCCTATTTCTGCCATGAAACAGTAATGCGTTTCGGTTTGAAGGGTGGGGCAACCGTTGTAACTATACTTGAGACCTTAGAACTTATATCACTCATATCTCAAGGTGGGTGGCGCATTTACGTTGTGAATAGGCACCGGTAACCACTTAACATCAGGTGGGCTGTGAGCTCGTCGACCCATCTAAGCAATAAAAATAAAATAAAAAAATATATTCGAAAGTATTCTTTCAATTTGATTAAGTTCAAATAAAAAACAGCCCACAGCAAAGGCACTAAAGAATTAAAATCGCTTACCAAACGGAAATTTGTGTAAACTAGCTATCGTGGCGTAGGATCCAGTCGAACTTGGCGGGCGACCAAGCGTATCCAATCTAAGGAGAACGTTTTGATGACTCCCGTAGGCCGCTGTGGTGTACGACGTACTGCTTGAAGAAAATTTCGCTATAAGTACAAGCTGATACACGATATCGAATAGAATGACACGGAATGATTTGTCTGTAAATTGTGTGAACAAAAAAAAGTGTGTGTGTGTGTGTGTGCAAGTCACACACGGTAGAAGTGAAACTTATAAAAAATAAAAATAATCGCAAGGTCAACCACTCTGCAGTGCAATGGAGCAGCCTCACTCTGGAGGAACCGACTGAACGATAACGGTGTCCCTACCCTAGGTAAGTATGACTTAGCAAGACAAATACGAGAACGTCTATCAACTGTGTTACATCTCGTCACCGCGATTCAGGAATTGTTGAATTTACGTGCAACGACACCTGTTCATAACAAACTAAATATAAATAATTGTAAATCATCTTTTGTAGTATGAGGTAGCGCCCTCTGTGAATTGATATTTTAACTTCATGTATAATTTGTTCTATCTCATTATCTCGACGGCCGAATCCTATACATTTATGTGTTTGTGTCTCTATGGACTTATTTTTTCGTTTCGTTTCATTTCGGTTCATTGAGTTTGAAATCACAACGATTCTAAAGAAGTTTCACTTCAATAAATTCTCTGTCTGGCTCTGTTTGTTTCTCTGCCTACGTCGAAATTTTTAGCATTTATAGAATCAATTTCATTTCAAGACCTACATCCGCCAATTGAGCAATCTGTGTTTGAATTTTCGAGTATCTTGATTATAAAAATCAATATGTTTTTTATACATTTGTATAGAAGAAAAATTTACATTCTGTCACAAGTCCTTAAAGGTTATTTTTTAAATCCAAACATACGCGACCTATTTTATCACAAAACAGCCCGATATCAAGTGGCTGAAATATTTTCCGAGTCCATCGCTAAACCGGTGCCGCATCATCCATCAAACGCGTCAGACAAGGGTTCGCCGCCCTTTGTGTTTATTCACATTTTGGTACAAATCACAAGCGTAACGTTCGCTGAGCGATTTAAGTTTAAAATTATTTACGTAACTTGGTAATGCTGGAGATTCTAAATCGTTCAGAGAGACAGAGAGAGCGAGAGAGAGAGATAGAGAACACACTTTATTGCACACCAAAACACAATTAACAATTTAAGAAAAACAGTCAGCAACCATATACATTAGTATAATAGGCGGTCTTATCGCTAAAAGCGATCTCTTCCAGACATTCGTTTAATTTATAGAAATTCTGGAAAAGATAAAGATATAGCAGGGATATTGCGCTGTATAATTTTTTTTATGCATCTTATTTTCTTCTTAGAAGAATAAGAATAAATATTTTCTTGCATTATGTGTGGATTGTGACTCCTATGTCTGTATACGATGGCAGCCACTATTCCCAAGATGTGGCTCTGCATCACCATAGTCCGTCATCGTAGAAAATAAATAAACTTATTGCTTGTTATGCTATGACTACCTACCTAGTTAGTAGTAGTAGTAGTTAGTAGTAGTACCTACACGTTACTAAATTACTGAAGAATATTAATTTATGTTAAAGGGAAAATATATGATATTTACTGGTGGTAGAACCTCTTGAGAGTCCGCGCGGGTAGGTACCACGACCTTGCTTATTTCTGCCGTGAAGCAGTAATGCGTTTCGGTTTGAAGGGTGGGGCAGCCGTTGTAACTATATTGAGACCGTCGAACTTATATCTCAAGGTGGATGGCACATTTACGTTGTAGATGTCTATGGGCCCCAGTAACCACTTAACATCAGGTGGGCTGTGAGCTCGTCCACCCATCTAAACAATAAAATATATATATATATGAATTACGCCCATTCATGGAAACGATGCACACTCCAACTTGCATAAGTGCTCAAAAGAGCTGTGCTAAGTTTCAATCGTAATAAAATCGTATGAACGACTCGGAAAACATACGAATTACGAAGAAAAAAAACAACATTAACTTTTATTCCATTAGGTTAACTTAAATTAATTAACCTAATTTCAATTGGAAAGACACATAGTTACATATTTATAAGTCTTATTTATTATTGGATTTGATTTAAAAACAAAATAATATAAATTTGTTTCATAATAATTAAATATTTCAAGACTTTCACATTATGTGAAACAAAAAAAAAATACATTTGGACCACACAGCCGTTTAAGGTCAACACCAAATTGATATTGAGCTGAAATTGGTACAGTATTGGAAATTTATGAGGGGCGCAAAGGCCAATCTAAGGTAAAATTTTTAGCTTAGTATTCTTAACGTTAATTCTAAGTGAACATTGAATAATAAAAAATCTTTTATAATCAAAATTAAAATTTTAGTGAACCAATCAGAATTCTACTAGATTAAACAACTATCTGAACCTATATTTTTTTATTATTTATCATAATTATCATAACCGCAGAAAGTACGTTTAAAAAATAACCTACCACTATATTTTATCCTATATTTTAATCATGTACATATTAGATTGGTAGTAATAAATGACTGCCATATAACGTGGTTACGTTATATGACCTAAGACCAGAGTCAAGCTGTTGGCGATAAAGGTACATTATTATGCAGAAGAACAGTGTGTGTGTACCCACCCAGAATCAAGTGAAGTGGATCGCGGCGTGGTTGGATGAATGTCAGATCATGTTATAGACGTTTTGGATGGGCAAAGAAGCTCAATTGGGTACCTAATCGAGGCCGTATTTGTGTACGTTACGTTTTCCTTAACCCATCGATCACGTAGGCCGCGATAAGTATGGAAAGACGACATCTAGTTTAAGTGACGCGAAATCACTGAGGCTCCATGTAAATCATATTACATCATATAGATGGAGGCTATAATTTATTATAAAAGATTATTTATGTAACCCTTTCAAATTTCATTTTATAACAATACTAAAATGTAAACATTTCAGTAAATAAACACTGGCGAACGAACGATTTGAAGATAGAAATAGAATTACCAATTATAATATATTATAACAACAATTACTTTAACAAGAATAGACATCATAATATAGTTCTCAAAGCTGTGAAAGTTCATTGTACACTTTTCGAATAGAAAAGTGACAAATCAAAATTGAAATAAATTGAAATAGACACATATCATCAGAACAAAATTGCTATGTACTGGAAAATTTATTTCTCTATCATTTTTATGTAACAAATTAACGCAAAGTTAAAGAATCTATGAACAAAGCGTATTAACGTTGCAACAGTTAATAATACTGTCAGTTTTCGTTCAAGAATTTTCCTGTAACTTTTATCGCAATTAACCGGGAAGTGGAAAAGTTTGAAAATTTAGAGAGGAAATTCTCATTTCACACTTTATCATAAACGCAAAAGTAAATAACGACTTAGTTAAGGGGTTTGTTCTCAAAATATAACTTGTTTCTAGTTTGTTCTAACATTAACGAATTCTAATGTGTTAATCAAACCGGAAGAAGGTGCTTTCTCTTTATGGGAAAATGAAAGGTCTTACACATTCCATATATTTTTGACTGTCGAATAAAATCTTTTATTTTACACGGACAAATTCAATTTGCCAATTATTTTTTTTGTTAATGAGCATTCTTATAATCCATATATACAGGGAACCGATATAGTCAAGTTGGCGCCGACCCTCGTATGTGTGTGATCAAATTTCGTGCCGAGCTAATCAATCAATAGTTATAATAAAACAATAAAAAAAGAGGACGAATAAAATATAAACAAGCTAAATTAATGATAATTTTTTGTATGTGTGCTGTGTGCTTAAAGATCTCTAGAAGGATTGAATACAATTTGTAGTTTTCCCAGGTTTTCCCTAGCAGACAGTGATTAATTTGGAACAGTAAATTGGAGAACGAAGATTAATTAGGAGTAAAATATATCCACCATGTTTCGTTAAAATTCAATTTTGGAAAATAAAATCGCTATTTAAAATAATATATCGGCTTTACTTTTATAGTTCAATAATTTTTATACGACAGTGGGTCTTAGGTTTTCACGCCCAATCTTTAAAGCGATTTCGATGAAATTCAGCGTGAAAACAATGAGAACTCTGGTAAAGAATAAAGTCTATCTTTCATCCCACTACTGAGCACAAATCTTCTCACCCACAACATCGCCCGCGGAATGTAAATTGTAGACCACAAAGGCGAGTGTGCGGGCAGCAAACTTTGAATAAAATTTAAAAGAAACCATTTAATTCTCATTTTCACAATTTAAGCATTCATTGCCGCTTTATTTAAATAAAGCCTGTTGCAGAAAATCTAAGCCCGGCCCAGACGTCTGTTCTACTTTCGAAAATATCTCTTTCGCTCTAGATAGTGGAGCTATCGTATTGATTGTTCCAAGCGTAGCAGACAGTTCGTGAGAACAGGAATCATTGAACGAGCCTCTTTAGGTGAACTGATTTCTGATGATCAAGTAAAATTTCCTGTTTATTTACAGTTTCAATGTATTTAAATTTCAACGTAGTGTTCTATCTATAAAAGTGACTTATTTGAATTCTATTATATAAAGTTTAATATTATGTATTTTACTTCATTTTTTTCTCAGCTGACACTGGTACGTATTTATTATTTACGGGCCTTAGTCAAGTAAATAATAAGGAATAAACGTTTTTAATGTCCGTCAATTGAGTTTTCTTCTATTTCTAAAAACTTACGAACAGTTCTACATGTATTTAATATAGCAGCTTTTTGTAGTTGCATGTAAGTGTTGGGTTTCAGAGCAATTAACTTCAGGCTGTGGTGGAAGTGCTTAGGGACAACGCCTGTGGTGGAAATGACTATTGGGACTATGTAAACTTTTTCCTGGTTCCATATTCTAGTAACTTCTTCTTTCAGGTCTATATATTTGTTAATTTTTTCTGTTATTATTATGATTATTATTATTAAGACATGAATTAAAGAAGCTCATAATTTTGGGTCGCATAGAAGGCAAGCGCGCTGTGGGCAGAACGCCAGCCAGATGGTCAGATCTGGTTAAAAAAGCAGTTGGTGATGGTCTATACCATGCGGTCCATGCCATCCATGACCAAACGCTATGGAGAAAAGTCACACGTGAACGATAAAGAAGAATGTAAAGCTTTACATCATATCACTTTGATAAAGCTCCAAGTTAATTAAGCCTTATTTTAGGCTATAGGGCTATGAAGCTATTGCCAATAAATACCAACAGAAACCCGATATTATTAAGAAGTTAATGATTCACTTCAATTACCGCTTTGGGGAAACTTAGCCAAATAAAACATTCTTTCGTCCAACAACTCTAAGGCTCCCCGCGCACTAGGCAGCCAGGCTGCGGCAACCGAAATATTTGAGCAGCCAGTTATAGCAGCCAATCGACGCCAATTTATGATCTTTTCGTCGACCGATTTGGTTTTTATCTCGTAAAAACCACAAAGCAAAGAAAAGGCACTGGATTCATCCTCTTTTTCTAGCACAGCATTCAAAAAGCTTATTCTATAACTATTTTAAAGATGTTGATACATACACAGACCGGCTTTTTTAAATACAAGAGATTGTACAATTGTACTGGTGGTAGGACCTCTTGTGAGTCCACACGGGTAGATACCACCACCCTGCCTATTTCTGCCGTGAAGCAGTAATGCGTTTCGGTTTGAAGGGTGGGGCAGCCGTTGTAACTATACTTGAGACCTTAGAACTTATATCTCAAGGTGGGTAGCGCATTTACGTCGTAGTTGTCTATGGGCTCCAGTAACCACTTAACACCAGGTGGGCTGTGAGCTCGTCCACCAATATAAGCAATAAAAAAAAGCATGCTCTGTCATATAACTGCTGTGTCATTTGGCAAAACGAATATGGATTGGCTGCCGCAGCCAAGAGTGCCGGGCTGCCTAGTGTGCGGGGAGTCTTATACATTAAAGCTACAACGTGCCTTGTCATGCACAGTTCGCAACTTACTGTATCGAGTCGTGGTGCCTTTGCTTGCTGCCCCGCTTGTACAGGGTCCCGGCTGCGGCGGCAGCAGCTAGCAGCGCTAATGCTGCGGCCGCACAGCCCCCCGCCGCGAATAGAACTCCGCTCGGACCACGGGAAGCGTCGCCGGCTAAACGTGCCGACTCATTGTGGGTCACTATTGTCGCCAAGCCTGTGAAAGTGAGTGTTATTAGAAATTAACGTGATTAGACATTGTAGATATTAAACATGTACTTCATTCAAAATAGTTACATGGAGTTTTTTGTAATGGGCATATGAGAATGAAAAAAAAACAAACAAAAACGCTTTCTGAGCCACACTCTGTAATAGCCCACGCTCAGCTCTGAAGACACCGGTGCATGAAGTAGCAGGTGCTTAAGTTTTATAAAGTGAAAGTGAATTTAGATTATTTTAATAAATGAAATAGAGCAATAACTGTTACGCCGGTATAAGTAACGCCATCTATCGCCGAATAGCAGAATCGAATATGAAAAGAACTAGTAAAGTCAAGAAAGCACGAGAAGTACAACGCCATCTATTGTTAAGTGGCGGAAACGCATATCGAAAATACTCGACTTGTGAGGAATGTTCTCGATAATTCTAGGCATGTCGCATCGACTATAAAAGCGTTGCAGGGATGTCACGAAGTCGAAATAGCGAACGGATCACCTGGAGCGAAGCGAAGGAAGCGAATTGAGAATTTTAAGGTGTTCGTTAAATGTTTTAAGTATTCCAAGTGTTAATAGAGTTGTAATTTATATTTCGGTAGAACTTTTATTTATCCTGAACCCCAGCGTGTAACAGTACTGAACCGTTTTGTCATTAATGCCAAACTAAAGCTTGCAAATAATTTATTTACAGAGCGCTCTTTATACTATAGCATTACGTCATCAGAGCCGAGTTCGTACTTAGCATTAGGGTATAGTGCAACAACTATATAGATATATTTTACGTTATTGCAATTTGACATGACTCTCTTGAAACGAGGCTTAAGAAGATTCATAATTAAAACTGCTTTTACGGTTTAATCTCTTTTTTTATGGTCATCGTAACATTTCTGACGTTTTGATACTCCAAATTTCGTGGTGAGGGACGCCCAACTAACCCCGAAAACTGACCGTGAACACTAAGCTGGTTCGCAAAAACAGTTTTAATTATGCCTATGCGACCAGAGAAAAAATATTAGTTTAAGAAGAATCCTTCTAGGCAAGCAGTGGTCTAGCAGTACCCCTGGTATTGAGATTATCAATTGGTCAAAACGAGCACATACCGACAGATACGCTTTCTGCTAAGATGTCATCGACAGTAATATAAAAAAAAAGATGTGTGGTGTCGTGGGACACCGGATAGGAACGAAGTTCCTTGTTACAAAAATATTAATTTAAAGTTCTATTCGAAGTATAAAGAAAATAAAACTGGAGGTTTCCCAATAAACCACAATCATTCGGTAACGTGCCAACTTATTGTGGTACACTTCATTCACGGTTGTTTGCATATGAATTAGTGTATTGCGCAAACGAACGCTCTGAGATCGTGGTCAATGAAAGATAAAAAAATATGTTATTTTTTGTACGTTATTACAAAGTTAAGTCGTACACTGTGTGCATTACTAATAAAAATCTTACGTTACGGACGTTTTTTCCCGGTTAGGGACCCCTCCGCATCGTCCCGTAAGGAACTTCGTTCCAAAAACACATTACACATCAATCCTAATGTCAAAACATCACTCGAATTTTCCCACAAATGTCATAGATGATGCGCAATTGACTCGAATTTAACGATAAACCCGACGAACAACGTATTTAAATTACAATAAAAATCTGTCCATTTCACGAAAATTGTTGACACTCTAAAAAAACACTTCCCCGAAAAAAAAAAGCGAAACAGTGCTAAAAAATAATAATAACGAACACAGCTCACTGAAAAGAAACGAGAAAATTTCCAAGTCAAATAAAAGTATACAATGGAACAATCGATACTCCCTTGTAAACACATTAAAATAGGGGTGAGTACCGCCTCGGGCACCCTGATACGTCTTTATCCCTCTAAGAATATCCTGTTGCGTCTACAGAATCGTCTACATGCTAATAAAGAGTGTAGGGGAGTGATTTGTAGGGGATGTTTNCTCACTGAAAAGAAACGAGAAAATTTCCAAGTCAAATAAAAGTATACAATGGAACAATCGATACTCCCTTGTAAACACATTAAAATAGGGGTGAGTACCGCCTCGGGCACCCTGATACGTCTTTATCCCTCTAAGAATATCCTGTTGCGTCTACAGAATCGTCTACATGCTAATAAAGAGTGTAGGGGAGTGATTTGTAGGGGATGTTTATATATTGATACGGTGAAGCGATTTCAATGACTGTTTACTGTCGTGGAAAACTGAAATTTCAAATTATATTTTTGCAAAAGTAAATTATAATGTTCAGTCCTTAAAGATTATTGTATAGTAAATATAAACCTAGTTTGATTATTTAATTAAATTAAATTTTGCTGATCTACTAAAATACCACCTGCAGCATAATCAACATAGTTAAACTTATAATGTTTACTAAAAGTTAATTTAGTCCAAAAACTTCTTTGGACAAAAACAAAACGGAGCAATTTCATGAAACTTTTAGTGGGTACCACCACCCTGCCTATTTCTGCTGTGAAGCAGTAATGCGTTTCGGTTTGAAGGGTGGAGCAGCCGTTGTAACTATACGTGAGACCTTAGAACTTATATCTCAAGGTGGCTGGCGCATTTACGTTGTAGATGTCTATGGGCTCCAGTAACCACTTAACACCAGGTGGGCTGTGAGCTCGTCCACCCATATAAGCGATAAAAAAAAAAAAAACTTCCTAACTATAACTAAAATGGTAAGTTCAGAGACTGACTCATAATATTCTCTTAGTCACTAACTTATTATTCATGCGCCTTATTCAAACAATATCAATGTAAAGTGAACAAATTTTATTGACATTGTACAGTCTTTAGAAGTGTTAGATCTCCCCTCGAAATTATTTTCAGTTCACCATTTATGATGCTAGTAAAACGATTATGCTGTGGAGGATACAGTTTTTCAATAGTTCATGAATTTGTAAGTGGATTGTTCGGGGTTCCGGTAAAGTTATTATTACAGTTTACGTAACAGTAATTGTCTTGAAAATTGTTGTATCAATGTTTTGTTATTTAAGTGACGCGGTTCAAAACTTTTGTTATTAAAGTTTATTATAAGTTTGATTGATGGTAGGCGCCTTATAAATTCGTTTTTGTTTTTCGAAGGATAAATTGGTACAGAAATGCTATAATTGATCGATGGTACAAATGTGACATTTTCATCGAAGCACCTACCATTTTGTATATTCAGCGTAAACTTGTGTTGCTTAAGAATTTGTATAAGTTGATCTTTTTTGGATTCAAATTCAATGCCGCCAAGGGGTTTCTCAAGCGATATGAGAAGCTTCAAATGAGGTTTCAAGAGTTATTGATGCATGATCTAGGCTTGAATATGCCCTCGGTATGGCTGACTTCGATAACCCCACCCCACCCACCGTCATATGCACCGTTTTGACACCAGTAAAAAAATTCCTTCTCGCGACTTTATATTTGTTAATATCCATTTTGGTAATTTCTTTTCACAACAAGCGCTGCTGATCCAGCAATATCATGGGTACGTCTGAATGGTGAAGCTGTCGGTTTCAGACTTATGAGATTGCCACTATATTTTCAGTTTTCATAACACGAAATGTGTGTACAAATACTTTGAGATGATTAGTAATTTATAAATAATTGACGATACCTAATAAGCTATGTATTTACTACCAATATGACTACCAATGTAGCAGGAAAATGAGAGTTGTGGACTGATTTTTGAGCCTGAATTTTCAATAAAACATCGGAGCACTTTTAGACGCGTGTATTACTTTTTGACTATTCAAGGGGAAGAGAAGGAGACGGAACAATTGTGATGCCAACTTAAAACAATAACATTTTTTTACAAATGTAGATATAAATACCTACAGCTATTATATATTAAAATACGGCTTGTCTACGTTGACATTTTGTTCTTTGTACTCTCAGCTAGTTACACAAATCGGATAGACAATAGAATGCACATTCATGCAACGGGTATTCGATAAAAAAAAAATTGCGTAGATGAGTGAACGAGCTCACAGCCCACCTGGTGTTAAGTAGTTACCTGAGCTCCTATACATTTACAACGTAAATGCAGCCGCCACCCATCTTGAGACATGAGTTTTAAGGTCTCAGTTTTAATAATATAACGACTGCGCCACCCTTCAAATCGAAACGCATTACTACTTCACGGCAGAAATAGGCAGGGCGGTGGTACCTACCCGTGCGGACTTACAAGAGCTCCTACCACCAGTAATCACCAGCTTCCCACGATTATTTCGATCATAAGACACCTATTCATGAACCTAACGTCTGTATTAGAGAAAGATAATACAGATACAATATTCGGCGCGCGGGACAGGTTGATTGATTAAAAATAGGCCGTCGGGTGATTTACGACGATCGCGCCTCAGTTCATTTCGCGTGAGAAAAACTGAATAAATTGATATGAAAAAATATGATGTACTGCCTCATCTAGACAGCCGTTTTTAACGTCAAAATTATAGATATTTAGTATAATCGTATACCTTTCATGGCTTAGCTGGTTATAAGACGAATATAAGTAAATAAAAAAAATTATAAAATATTCTTCGTGTATAATGATTGCTCTGGGTGATCTCTGAAGCAGCTACACCAAGTTTGACGGAGTTTTCACTAACACGAAGCTCAGATAAGAATTAAAGAAATATCTTAAGTTTTTAACTTAATAACTTAGAAAAAGATTTCGAGTTCCTCACGAAATTAAAAATGTATAATATTATGAACATTATTCGATTGAAATAGGCATGTAGTTTTAATATCAGACCAAGCCATCACAAAGCCTAGCCAGATTTAGCTTATTATCAGTAAGACCGTTTTTATTAACAGGTTTTTACTAGTTTGGTGTGTGTAAGTAACGTAAGGTTTATTTTCAGCGACATAAAGACATCCTCTGATTAACATTGAAATTTGTACACGCGTCAAGGTCCGTTGACAGTACAATAACTTTATAACTTCGCTGAAATATCCTGATCGGTATCAACAGGCTAAAAAATATGAAATTAATTGCGAATTCGGTTTGCTGTTTAAGAGTGTTTTTTTTAGTTTGTGAACAATAACTAATGCTATTTTTTATAAATATACCATCACTCACACTGAGATATCAGATCGAAGTCTCAATTTTCTTGTGTAAGAACTGTCTTTGGAATCAGACGCATATGACGGCAGCCGGCAGGACTTGCGATTGAATTCAGAATAGTGTTACTTACTTAGGCTGGTTCATCATATCCTTATTTCGTGTATTCACCTTTTAAGCAGATCTTGTTCCTTTTGAAGGTCAATCGGATATCGTTGTGGGCGCGGTCGGGAACCGATATGTTCAGTTGAATTGTGACTAGGTTTTCTGCACTTCTCGTACCGGTACACGGCAAACGAATCCTTTGAACAAAGAAATGATCATGAAGGCTTAGTGTGGTAAGCTTTCTGGCTGTAATGCAATTTGATACTGGGACTTCATGCCCCAATGTACCAAGGTAGCAGCATCAACGTTATGAACGATATTTTCCGGTACCCACTTTTTTTTTATTGCTTAGATGGGTGGGCGAGCTCACAGCCCATCTGGTGTTAAGTGGTTACTGGAGCCCATAGACATCTACAACGTAAATGCGAAATCCACCTTGAGATATAATCTAAGGTCTGAAGTATAGTTACAACGGCTGCCCCACCCTTCAAACCGAAACGCATGACTGCTTCACGGCAGAAATAGGCAGAGTGGTGGTACCTACCCGTGCGGACTTACAAGAGGTCCTACCACCACTTCACACTAAGTGAGCCGAGAGCGAATAAAGCAAAGCAAATACAATCTTACTTTTCAAAAAACTATGAGAGCTATTTATAGCTAATAATATTTTCATATAAATCCTATTGGTAGTCTACCGTGAAATTAAATAATGCCTATATTGCCTTCTAAATTAAAGATCGTAGTGCTTTTACGATTTACTATAGTATTATTATCAAATACACTATCTCTTAGTTCGGTGTTTTATTTAGATTAGATCCGAGCAGTGTTTAAATACAATAATGTGTTTCAATAATTATTTTCGTTCAACTAACAGAATTAGGCCGATGCCCTGCGGCTGACATAGATGCATTAGAGTATAAAACAACAAAAAAACAAAATGTATACTATAATCTACTGTCTAATTTTGTCTTTTCTAAAGCATTTTTAATGGACTTTTGTCGCCAATAAACTTTTTTCACAATAAAAAGTATAGCTTAGTTGAAAATCTTACCGAAAAGTCTGTAGAGTTGTGGGCACATATCCCCGTTCAGAGATATTGACCTGTGGCGGCAACATGGCGCCTCTAGCCTCATACTCTATAGCCATCACGTACGGAAGCTGAACAATACACATGCTATGCATAAATACTTGTAAATTGTTCAAACAGCGGGCGTTCGTAGCGGGCGACAATCTTGAGAATTTATAGGGTGTTTAAAGTGAGTTTGTGATCCTTGTTGGAAAAGACCTAACTTGTCTCTAGACGTTTAATGATGCCGAAGTGTCGGAAAACTATTTTCCTGGCTTCTACTATCCAAGATAAGATAATTAGATTTAGAGAAGCTCAGGTGCATTTATGGCATTATCTCCTGTTTCCATGAGTCGTAGACGAAATTAAAACTTCTTATCTATATATTAATACGTGAAGCAAAAACTTTGTACCTCTTTTTGCGAAAATTGCGCGGATGGAGAAGTATGAAATTTTCCATACTTATAGAGAATATAGAGAAGGAGTGCAGAATGTTAATATATTTTTTAAATTAAATTAAATTATAAACACTTTACATCAATAAAAAAAACATTACACACACTATCATCTATTTGACACACACACGCATATATACATTTATATTTTGTTTATTGTCAAAATTTTATTGTTTAAAGTCTGTGGTCAGATTGAGAATAGATTAATATGTATTGTTTGTCTTTAATATTATTTGTCCATAGTGTAGTCTTGCCGAAATCTGTGAATAAAGAAGTATAAGTCTTTGACAATATAACCATAATAATATTCAAATTTATAATTTAATTTAAATTAGTTATAGTCGAATTTCGACTACTGCGGGACCACTAGTACATTTTAAGTTTAATTTCGCGTTTTCTATTATCATTATATTGTTTCTAATATTTTGAATACTTTATAATTTTTATGTCACGGACGACTGTCGTTAAAGTATTCTTAGCTATGCTTTTGTGTGTGTTTTTAATTGGACGTCCGCTCAATTATATTTGTAAGTCTATGGTTACGTATTTAAGTCTGCATTTCATCGACTCAGTGGCTGTATGAAAAAAAAACGAGCATCGATTGCTTTTAGATCAATCAATCGTGAGACTACGCAGCGATGATAAGCTGATGTATTAATACGTGAACATAGTCGATAAAATAGTCGGTACTAGACTTTTTTTTATTTTTTTTATTGCTTAGATGGGTGAACGAGCTCACAGCCCACCTGATGTTAAGTGGTTACTGAAGCCCATAGACATCTACAACGTAAATGCGCCACCCACCTTGAGATATAAGTTCTAAGGTCTCAGTATAGTTACAACGGCTGCCCCGCCCTTCAAACCGAAACTCATTACTGCTTCACGGCAGAAATAGGCAGGGTGGTGCTACCTACCCGTGCGGACTCACAAGGTGTCCTACCGCCAGTAAAAAGTAGTAACCAGTAGACTATTCAGAACACGTACATTTGTAAAGATAGCAAATGTTAACTGGATCCGTTGCATGCGTGGCGACTAAGCTATTTAGTCTTGATAAAATCGTGGATAGCACAAAGTCAACTAAACTACATATTAGGTCAATGTGACAATTATGTATGAATGAGCTTCACTCGAGCGCTCTTATTACGGGGTTGTATAGGAAATGAAACAATGACATAATGAGTTTGTAATCGAATATGTCAAAACGTGGTACCGCAGTCTATCGCGATTTGAGCGACTTAATTTTTTTACATAAAATTACTAGCGACCCGCCCTCGCCTCGCTTCGGAAACTGTAATTTATTATTGATTTCTCCACTATTTAATGGATGTTATTATACATATAAACCTTCCTCTTTAATCACTCTATCTATTAAAAAAACCGCATCAAAATCCGTTGCGTAGTTGTAAAGATTTAAGCATAAATAGGGACAGACAGATATAGGGACAGAGAAAGCGACTTTGTTTTATATTATTTAGTGATATGAATAATATACAAATTTAAATTTAAAGTATTTAAAAGTGAAATAACGCTTATATAAAGCTCATAAAGAAATCACAAGAACACGAGATTGTAGTTTCGAATACTACTGGAATACTTATTATTGCCATTTTGTTTGTACCAGCTTCTTCATCGTTCGATGGTTAATTTTTATTCCGGAACAATTATGTTTCTAGTTTTATCTCAAACACTGACAACATTGGGACGTGGGACGCGTAACTATCAAGTCAGATGTGAATTAATTTATCCTAAGTGAAGGGGAACTTTAAAGATTTAAAAAAAAAACCTTTTCACATAATTCATCTAAACTGGAAATTCTCAACAAAAACCCAGTCCTTAATCCAGTCTTTTGTTTATCATAATTGAATCGCGTTCAGAACGAATTGAAACTGCCGGTCTTCATTCGTTTGAATCGAAATTAAACGACCGCCAAATGAATAGAACATAATTTGATATATACGAATTTAGAATATTCCAGAAAACTTATTTTTCGGAAAAATAGTTGAATTTCCGGATATTTTGTTTGACATTGATGTTATAGATTTTAATCGTTGTTAGAGTACCTACATGAATGAGTAAAATATTGAACGATGAAAATATACTCAAAAGTTTGGTTTATGAATCTAATTGTTCATTAAAAAATTAAATAAGAATTATATATAGAAAAATAAAGATAACATATATAGGAAGATATTGGAAATTCCAAAAGGTTTTTAGGAAGGGCTACCTCCAAGGATTTTTGCATATTAATTAATCTCGTTTGCGGGCCTCTGAAAGACCAACACTATAGCTTATAGCCGCTATCTAAATTCATACAGAGTAATAGGTAACTATTCCCGAAGGTGGGAAATAGTACGCGCCTTACAGAGAAAAAAGCGTCGGATGCCTGCTTCTGGTGATTATTTTATTGCAATCGCAGCCTGCCATTGAATGCAGTTAATGTCATATTTAACTATCAGTGATAAATGTATTTTTTGTTTGATTCAAATCTTATTGCCTTCAACCATCCTACCTATTTTTGTAGCAACGTAATAATGTACTCCGGGTTGAAGGATGGAAATAATAGAATTGAGACTGTAAGCTCCATAAGTGTCAGAAAGCGCTACCTACAGTAACTATCTATTACTAGGAAATCCGTAATATCGCCTATTTACATCATAAGATTTACAGAAAAGAAATTAAAAATGAAAATGGACTAAAAATATCGTACTCGCATTCGTATGTCATGATTTAAAAAATAAATTCACATGAAAACATTTTCACAGTCAAATGAAATAAATTATATGTGCAAATATATGTATTGTGATAAGCCTAATACTATACAGTATTTTTCCAATAGAACGCTTCCGTCTATCTCATATCCCGATCGCATTATCGGCGCGTGATTTGGCAATGGAATTTTCATTTCAACACAATACGAATCGCTTTGAATATTTTTTAAGCGGTTTTATTGGTATTACGGTTTCCGATTGTAATATGAGGAAGATCATTTTTTCTTTCAGAGTTATATTTTTTATTTTACAAAATAATTTATTAACTGTAGTTTCGTAATTTCAAAATTAGGATGATTTCAGAAATATGATTTCAGTTTTACTACTTTTTTGTAATTCAATTAGTTTTATCATATTTATCTAATAATATACAGTGATATTAATCCTACTGTTGGATTGATTATGAAAATATTAATTATTTATGTGGTTTGTTATTTTCTATTAGCGGGCAATTGACACTCAGAAATAAATGAGTCAATCACACTATTTTATAGACACTTATAATGCTCTGGTAATATACAGTTTATTATAATAATATTAATAACTTCAAATTTCAACTAAAAATAGTGAACGCGAAATTGACTTTTGAAAATATTTATTTATGATATCTACGACTCTAACTGGAAACCGGAGAAGATTATAACTTAATTAGAATTAGTTCAAATAAAGTTTAACATTACCGGTGTTCGTCCAAGGGCTTGCCACATAAACTCCAAGTCGGCGATATGTGCCGGAACGGGCACAATGAAACTCGTAGCGTAAGTGTTCACGACTCCTTCTCGAACGTAGTACAACTCAGCGTCCAAGCCTGAGAACAAAAACAAAACGTTCTTATTTACAAAAGTTAAAATAAAATATATTTTTTTTATTGCTTAAATGGGTGGACGAGCTCACAGCCCACCTGGTGTTAAGTGGTTACTGGAGCTCAGAGACATCAGAATCTAAGACTTAAATGCGCCACTCGCCTTGAGTTCTAAGGTCTCAAGTATAGCTACAACGGCTGCCCCGCCCTTCAAGCCGAAACGCATTATTGCTTCACGGCAGAAATAGTCAGGGTGGTGGTACCCACCCGTGCGGACTCACAAGACTCCTACCACCAGTAGTTAGTTATGTAAATATTGTAAAGCTCCCATTTTTTCGATAATTTGACACTTAAGGTAAATGTTACAACCATTTTAAATCTAAAATTCGTTTTTTTTAAAACACATTTGAAATAAATAATTAATACAAAAAAATTTTTATGTTTAACTTGAAGTCTTGTTTCATAGTAAAACCCTTTGACTCGCATGTAGGGTCAGGTCCCTGAGGCGCCGGAATATCTCATAGACACTGGGAAAGACGAATCCGAAGATGCTGTGAATGAATTTATTTCTAAGAGACCTAAAATACTAAAGCATGCACATTAACAAATAAAAGGCAAAGTAAGACAATCCAGGTGCCTTAGGAACAGAAATTGACATACCCACTTTAGTGCGCCACGCAAGGTCACCGGTGCGTCCTTACGGATCCATCAGATCCAATAACCTTTGCATTAGACGCCTTCAGCTCTAATACTAGGAGCAACTTAGGGACCCCGGTAACCGTACTCGTCGAACTCGACAAAGAGGTCGACGTGCAACTTAACCCATGAATCATCTCGCTGAGTTTCTCGCCGGATCTTCTCAGCGGGTCACGATCCGATCCGGTAGTAGATTCATTCGCGAAGCAGTTGCTCTTGTGTTGTTAGGTCTCCTTCGGACGCGCTCGGGCAGCTATTAGCAAATCCCACCCCTCCTAGCTGAGCCTTTGGTCGCCCACCTGTCCTAGTGAAAATGGAAAGGCCTCCGGGCCACCAGTATTTCTTCAATCATAAAAAAGCAGTCAAATGGATAACCATTTTCGGGATAGTGATACCTACCCGTATGGTCTTACAGTGCGCCTCAACACCACTATTGCCCAAGCAGAATGTTTATTTTCTCTAAACTATGTAATTTCATATTTGTTATATGCATACAATAAAATAATAGTGTTAGTACCCAGAGCTTGTGTATTCATGATATTAATTACGTAATTACTATTTTCTACAAAATTATCCTACATCAGTGAAATCATATTTTAAACCACTATAAAAAATATCCATTGGACTGACTAGAACACTTTTTTTTTGTTGCAAATTGAATTATTTAAAAATGCAAAACACGCAACGACGGTAGTGTACCCTAAAATGCTCTCATCTTCAATACGAACGATTTCCACTACAGTACTGCAAGTTTTATTCCCTTGGGGTGTGACACGTCAAATTATCCAACTAAATCTATTTGCTTAGACGAAAGGACAGTTTTTTGCATACTACGATTTTTATTATTGATACTTTACGTTATCTTTTTTAGAATAGCTGAGTTGCGCTGAATTGGAAATACATTTTTAAGAACATTTGTTTTCTTGTTTATTTATTAATTTAAAGCATTTGTAAATTGGTATTTATTAAGTAAATAGGTGTTACGGCCTCAAAGCCGCCGCCGCTTTAAAATATTCTTTGATTGATCGTCTCAATTTTGAACACTCAATGAATATCGTACTGTATTCAATGAATGAACTAGACAGGCTACCAGCCAAGTTTCTCGCCGAATCAAGAATGAGAAGTCAGTGGGTCGTGATTCTGATCTGGTGGTAGATTCTGGGAAGCACTGCTCTAGCTAGGGCTAGTGTTAACAAATTCCCCTAGATTGAGCCCGTGAGCTCACATATCCGGCCGAGAGAAGCTGGAATAGTCCTACCAAGGGAAAAAGCAGGTTACTCTAGAAAAAATCTTGCGTGCAACTCAGACGCAGTGGAAGTGAAACCTGCCGAAGTATTATAAATTATTTTAATCTTCCGAGGCTGCATGTATTTATTACACATATTTGTACCTTTCAGTATCGCTTCTCCGTTGAATCGAGTTTCAAATCATAACAATGCTTAAAATCCCTCGACATAAACTCAAATTTAGTCTAGACAATATATTTTAAAGTATCAAAATCGTTCGATCGGAACACGGCACGGGGACAGCAAAGCGGACGAGACAGTGAAACGAACTGGATATGAAGTGGCACTTTGCGCAATTGATGAATTACTACCCCTGCATATAACAAGCCCAGCCCTCCTCTATATACCTGATAACCCATTCTGAATTCGTATTTTATATCAAAGAAACAAATAAATTAGTTTATGTAAATTTTGATATTTGATGTACTATGGACAATTGAATTATAAAAGTATGTATTAAAAAAAAAAATAGTTTAAATAAACTAACAAAATACGCTTTTATAGAAAATCCAACTAAAAATAGAAAATAAATTTTAATCAAATTTGAATTAAAAATAGTATAAGAAAAAAATATTTTATTGTAAAAAAGCGTGGGGTGATGAATCTGAATTGTCATCGATCCTTAATAAGTATACCAAAATTTCGAGTTAATCCGACGTTTTGAAGGGGTCAAATTCATGTTCAAAGATTCCGTTACATACTAACATACAACATACATACTTCTGAAGCTAATACAAGCTTATTAAAAAACATGTAACGGTTATTGGGTATATCTAAACCAACTTTTATTTTCTTGACAAATCAAGTCAAATCAAATAAAAAAAAATTTATTCAACATAAATGAAAGTACCTAGTCAGGTCATAAATTCTGTCACATGTTTAATGTAAAATAATTGAAACAAGTTTATTCATTATGTAACCATTCATATACCAAAATGAACTTAACAAAACATAGATTCTTATGACACTAAAGTTTATTCAAAATGACCTCTGTGATTTTGAATACAGGCCTTCAATCTGCGCGGCCAGTCGTCTATCGCAGCACGAACGAGGTCCATGTCAATATCGGCGGCTGCCTTAATCAAGGATGTCTTGAGTGACTCCAAATTGGGATGAGGCTTTGAGCACGCCTTTTCCTCCAAGTGTTGCCATATCTTGTAATCTAACGGATTCAAATCTGGACTGGAGGAGGGCCAGTCTTCGTGCCGGATGAAGTCGATTTCACGCGCCGCCAGCCAGTCTTGTGTGCTCTTCGCTCTATGAGCTGGCGCCGAATCTTGTTGGAATACCCAGTGCCTGTTATTGAACATGGTATGAGAAACAGGTTCCACAAGGTTCGTCAGGACTGTATTTTGATACACAACTGCATTCGTTTTTACACCTTTCTCACAAAAATGTACCTCTGTTAAGCCCCAATAAGAAACTCCCAACCATACCATGAGCGAGGATGGAAAATGACCTCGTTGGACACGCGGAATACGGTTGCTCGCTTCTTCACTACTGTGTGCGTACACCTTATCATTTTGTTTGTTGTAGCTCTCTTCTACGGTAAAAATTTTTTCATCCGAAAAAAGAATTTCCCGATATTTTTTTCCCGCGTACCGCTTCAACAAAGCGCGGCATCTCTTCAGTCTCAGGTCCATTAGACGAGCATTCAAACGATGTCCTGTTTTTCTTCGATATGCCCGAAGCCCTAAGTCTTCATTTAACACCCTTTTCACCGTGGTTCTGCTTAACCCCATCTGAAGGGCCAACAGTTTCTGCTTACGTTTGGGATTTCTTTGAATTCGTGCCTTCACAGCTTTTATCACTGCTGGAGTCCTAACAGACCGAGGGCGACCACTTCTTGACCTGTCATCTATACTAGAGTCTTCATTGTATCGTTTGATGGTACGATAAACGAATATTTTGGTTATATTCAAATTTTTCAGTATGTTAAAAATTTGAATTGGCGCGTAACCGCAACAATGCAACGCAATAACTGCAACACGGTCTTCTTTAAGCGTCCACTCCATATTTAAAAATGAGTAAAATTCTAAAAGTAATACATTTTTATTTTCATGAACAATTCGAAATTCGAATTCAATAAACTTTTTTGTGGCCAGCATTCTAAAAGAAAAGTTTTTACTGTGTGACAATACTTATGACCTGACTAGGTACATACTTGTTGAACGTCAAAAGAACTACCGCCAATTCACAAGAACTAGCCTCCGTCCTGAGAAGAATTGGCAAGAAACTCAGCGGGCATGTTTTTTTTTTTTTTTTAATATTAGATTTTTTAAATATTCATTTTTCATGAGTATAATAACATAACAATTACTACAATATTGAAATGCCCGGAGCGAGCAACTCATTCCCACTTTGTGCAATCTTCTAGATAATCAGTGGACTTCAAGTTTCATATTTAGCGTTTACCGTAATCCAATTAAAGCTCTCTTACACATATAACTAATTGAAATGAAATAAATATTATACTCGTTTTACTAATTTTCTTGCGTGGAAACTACGTTGATATAAGGCTAACTATTTTGGAGATAAGGCATTCATTACAAAAAAAAAACGAATACAGTAATTATTTCCTGTTATTTTATTTACTTAGGACAATTAATGATTCGAATGATAAGAAACAACAATATGCCCCAGTTTAAATTAATAAAAAACAACAAAATTATAACAAAAACCAATAATAGTAATAATCAGACTAGGCCTAAAACATTTTCATTTAAGCTACCACTTAAATTAATTCTTATCTGGGTATCTCCAAAGAGAGTCGTCAAGTATTATGAATAATTTTTTTACGTATTCATGTAAACTAGAGGTCCCGCGGTAGTCGAAATTCGACTATAATTAATTGGAATTGTAAGTTTGTACACTATTATGATTGTATTTTATACCTCTATAATCACAAATTTCGCCAAGACTACACTATAAAAAATATTAACAAAGACAAACAACATTTAATCTATACTCAATTTGACAACAGACGTCAAGAACAAAATAAATAAATAGTATGCATGCGTGTGT